TACCTCAACACCAGAAGATGGTACAGTATCAGATTGTGAACCACAACTAAATGAAGCAGTATTCAAAAGACCAAAAAAACCTAAAACTCAGTTTAAAACAGCAAGTGAACAAGTAGCTGAGCCAATGATAGAATTTTTAAAGTCAAGGACTAAGCAAATTAGCACTGAAGATTCCTCAGAACTATTATTTTTCAAAAGTTTAATTCCTGATTACAAAAAACTTAACGATCAAAATCAACGTCACTTTAAACAAATTGTATTATCAACTTTAAACAATTTTATTGATGACCAAGAACAAAATAAACAAGCACAAATGACTTCATTTCAAAATGGACAACAGTTATATTCTTTGCAAGTAGGACAACAAGGAGGGCAAAATATGAATAACTTCTACAATGCTTTTGCAACTGATGTTGCATCACCTATGACAGATAGTAGCAGTTCATAGGATTAAGTTAACGAGTACACAATTTATATAAAATAATATCATACTATACCTATCTTTTTATCTATTTACATAAAATTTAATAAATTTAATAAAGATGTACAACTAAATACAATAAAATATCATACTAAAATATTAGTCTTATCAAATCTTACCTTAGTGTAATTAAAAGCCTTTCCTCAGGAGAAATACTTTTTCTGAAATTAGTGTCTTCTTTTCTTATTTCCTGTCCTATTTGCTGTATGATATAATCAAAAGTTGAAATACTAACACGTGTATAATTTTTAAATTTTTTTTCATCAGATCGTAATTCACATATAAATGACACAATTACGTTGTGAGTGATACGTTTTTGGTTTAATGGGTGTACCCATAACTTTTTTTTTCCCCGTTCTTCTAAATTGTGTAGAGAGTACCACATACAAATGGCAACCTCTTCGTCAGATGACATTTTTGAAACTAAAAAATAACTAAAATATTGTTTGACTAGACTTGTCTTGACTAACTGATATGCGTATATAAAAAACAAATTGTTTTAAGTTGATTAAAACAAATATGACTAACGATGACTAACACAGTTTTGCTCTTTTGGTGTGCGATCGGCCTTACGACACAAATATTAAATTCATTTATTCCAATTCATTAAACTAGAAGGCTAGATGGTAGGCCGATTGGGGGGGGGGGGGTGGTCCCTCTGACCACCCCATAAATCCACCTCGCACTGTATAAATTTCTGGAAACACTTCTTTTAGTCAATATTTTGGTAGTATACCTATTGTAGAGGCTTGCTTTATTAACTTTATATAACGCTATCACACACAGTTCACGTTATTTTTAACAATATTATATACCTACAACTGCTTTCTTATATTTGCATAATTGTGAAATAATTTTTTCTTAAATACATATATTAAACTGTTTTTTAAACTATACATTATTTTGAGTACCTATACCTACCCACCTATAAGGATTACCCATCCGCCAATTATAAATAGCGACTCGTTAAATTAGGTTCGGCGTCACTGATTCTAATATATTATTTTATTGCCGCTTTAGTTCGAAAATAAATAATATGATTATTATTAATCTTAACAGAGTCAAATGATATAGACTCGGAAATCGACGAATCTCAGAACAAAATCGACTGTCCTTTGCCACAAAGGTTGGACAATTCAAATATATATGTGACAAACGATCAGGGCCCTAGCTCTAGTAATAACCACTTTAACATTGAAGCAGCTGTTGATCAGCAGGATAATACATTTAAATATGGTATGTTTACCTATATTTTGTATCTTATGACTTATTCCAACATAAACTAATTATTACCTGATATACTTTTAACTATAAAAGTTCCAGGTAACTATACCTTTAGGGTCGCGCCACACTAGAGCGGTTTTGACGTGCGGTGAAAACGCGCGAGCAACGCGCGTCAAAAACGCGAAATGAAAAAGCATACCATGTAAAGGGTCGCGCCACACTAGCGCGTTACCGCGTGACACCGCTGTATGCCACGGTTTTGCGTTTTCGCCGCGTCAAGCGCTTGTCTACCGCTACTAATCAAACACATTATTTTCAATGACACGCGACACACTACGGCAGTTACAACGCGCGATTCCATTTCAAAACTAAACATTTTTAAAGTTTTAAATTTTTTAAAAAAAATTTCAACATGATTGACATCGAAATGCTTATTCACGAAATTGAAAAAGAAGAATGCCTGTGGAAAACTAGCAATAAAGATTACATGGATAAACATACCAAACAAAAATCGTGGATCAATGTAGCCAGTGTTATATTCAGTACTTGGAGCACATTTTCAGAGAAGGAACAGGAAGCTCGTGGTGAGTTTTTTTTAAAATTTATATATTAATTAATAAAATAACTAAATAATATTACAAGGTTAACATATAATTTTGTTTTTACTCATAAATTTGTATTGTACAATATGAAGTAATAACCTAACCCAGTAAACATAACACGTATAATCTACGTTTATAATAAGCATAATATTGGTATATAATTATACGTTGTAAATATATGTATATTATTAGTATAATATACGTTTATTGATGTTTATTTTTCGTGTAAGATAGGTAGAGCTATAAACGTTTACATTACGTGGTGTATCTACGTTTATTATAATTGGTTGGTCGAAGAAACGTGTTTATAGGACGAAAAATATTCGTTTAGTTTTCGTGTAAGGCCCACTTTCTCGACTTCTAGTTAAGGAATTTTAACCGCCAGATAGCACTAACTGTAGGTTAAATTTCATTCGTCAATTTCTCAACTGCCAGTTAGTGCTACCTAACAGATAAAGTGCCGAATAACTTATTCGGTACAAATTTTACCGGATAAGTTTGTAACTGGCAGTTTAATACTTTAATATCAGTTTATCTGTTTATCACCTCGCCTATTTTTCATTGATATCGTTATAATAAAATATAAATATTAAATAATAATGACAAGTTCAATAATTACAAATCGAATTCGATCGGTGAGTGACGATGACGAAGAAATTATTGAATTTCTTATGCGTAGAAATCGACCTCGTGTTTTTCAAAACCGAATTGATCACATCAACAAATGGAATGATACTGAATTTTTCCGAAGGTTTCGGATGAAAAAACCAACTTTTATGTACATTTTGGGAAAGATAGAAAATACATTGTCAACTGCTAAGAGGTAAGATTACACATGTTATACTGTCTCTAGCCTTTACTGTTAGCATTCCTAAGCTTAATGTTCTATTATAGTATATTTTAATACATCTATTATAAATTATAATTAATGTGAAAATGTCTATTTGTAGGATCACTTCAATTACACCAATGCAAAAATTGTTGGTGGCACTAAGGTTTTATGCAACTGGGAATTTTTTAATAACTGCCGGGGAACTCGTTGGAATTAGTGAGCCGTCTGCTTGTCGAATAGTACAGCAAGTGACATATGCTTTAGCAGAACTTCGTCCAGATTGTATAAAAATGCCCCAAAATGTGGAAGAAATACGTCAAGTATCCTACCACTTTTACAAGATTGCAAAAATGCCACGAGTTATTGGAGCTATTGACTGCACCCACATTCGGATAAACTCCCCTGGTATGAAATATTTCTAGTAGCCAGTAGGTATACCTATAGGAAAGAGTGTTGTACTTTGCGACCTTTTTTTAAAACCCTTTCTTGCTCTGAATTCTAAACTACAATATGCAATATACATGTAGGTTGACATTTATATTTTTTAATTTTTACCAAATATTGAAGGTTTACTAACAAAAAATAGTTTATTTAATTTATTAAATTTATAGGTGGTGAAAATGCTGAGTATTTCCGGAATCGCAAGGGCTATTTTTCATTGAATGTCCAAACTGTTGCTGATGCTAATCTTCAAATATTAGATATTGTAGTTCGTTGGCCGGGATCAGTGCATGACCAAACCATATTTTTAAATTCAAAACTCAAGACAGATCTAGAAAATGGTCGGTTTGGAAATAATTTATTAGTGGCAGACAGTGGTTACGCCAATTCTCAACATGTAATCACACCACTTCTACAAACAAATAATAGAGTTGAGGAAATATACAATGAATCATTGATAAGAACGAGAAACGTAGTTGAAAGACAATATGGAGTATGGAAGCGTAGATTTCCAATATTATCTTTTGGATTTCGAATAAAATTGGAAACTACAATGGCCGCAATCGTTGCTTGTGCTGTGTTGTTTAATATTACTCGTACACATGATGGAGAAGAGCCACCAGATGATTATGAAGCGAGAAACTTTATATTGGAACAAGAAGAACCCTCACAAACACCTGTACATGCAAATAGTAATCAACAATTTACTGCTAGGAACAGACTATTAAATGATTATTTTCCTTCATTACTTGATGGTAATGGACAATAGTATTTGATTTATCGGTTTGTCATTTTATAACTCCTTTTTTTTATAAATTTTTACTGGTGTATTTAAAAATAAAATGAATGTGATATAGCTTACAAATTTTTTGTTTTATTAATGTTAATGTTTTCTCTGATTTACCATTATTTTAACTATATAGAGAGGTACTTTGCATTTTTCAGTTAATTTTAAAATCTTATAGGTATTAAAAAAAAACAATCTCTTTCATAGTCAATATATTTCATATTAATATGAGAATTTCAGTGTACACATAGTAATATAATAAAAATAAACTTAATATTCAACAAAAAATAAAAACTTTCTTAAGTAATAAATTATAATAAACGTTCTTCGTTATGTTTATAATTAAATATGAAAACAAAAACAAATATGACTGCTTATTAAGTACTGTCAATGTACAAAATAAATTGACTAATCAATATATTTCATATTAATATGAAAATTTCAGTGTACACATAGTAATATAATAAAAATAAACTTAATATTCAACAAAAAATAAAAACTTTCTTAAGTAATAAATTATAATAAACGTTCTTCGTTATGTTTATAATTAAATATGAAAACAAAAACAAATATGACTGCTTATTAAGTACTGTTAATGTACAAAATAAATTGACTAATCAATTAATTAATCAATTAGACAGTAGATTTTTTTAGTAACAATATCTCTAATTCTAATTTCTCGATTTCCAACTTAAGTTTTTTAGTTCGTAGTTGATGTTCAATAGTATCTTCCTGTTCTTTTTTTCCCAATAAATTCAATTCTCTTTCTACAAGTTCTGCCTTTGAGGTACACAAATCATTATAATTAGTCGCCACACTTGAAACTGTTGATTTTTTTTTTTAGAAAAATGAATCCGTGTTTGCTCTAGAGAGCTTGATTCTAAAACATAATAATTAGACAAAAGTAATGAATAATTTTAATGAACTATACATTTCATCAAAGAATTGTTTACTTTCAAATAATGATGCGCTGGAGGTTGGTAGTTGATCCACAACAATGTCTGTGCTTATTTTACTCTTTAGTTCTTTTGGCTTGCCAGTCTGTAGCATTGTAGCATTATAATCACTAAAATTTACTCGTATGGTGTCTGTCGGATCTATCAAATAATATAAAATCATTTATAATATTTTTAAGCATCAAACTTAAACCAAATTTAAAAAATAGTATTTCTTACTAGTAGGTGAATTATTATCTAATATATTTTCCTCTAATATTGATGGATCATCTATTTCTTCCATCATGATGGAAAAATCTAATTCCTCAGTACTTTTTAAATCTAGAAAATATTATTGTTATTCAACTTCAATAACATTTCTAATAGAATAACATTGTACTTATATGACTGCTATCTGAGTCAAATTGGCAAATTAACCCATCAGAGCTGAGTTTTATATTTTGATGCAACTGTTCCAAAGCAGGGCTTAATTTTACCTCACTTATGAATGGACCTCCACCAGTACCAGTAACATACTTCTTTTGTTTTGCAACCGATTTTCTCACTTCTTTTTTCATTGAATCATATTTTGATCTGAGGTTTTTAATAGATCTGGACTAAAAAAATGAATAAAATTAAACTAGTATTTGGATACTTATAATATATTTAGCAACATATTGATTTTTACGATGGGTAAATACCTGACAGAAAGTTTGTACACCAGATTACTGATTTCAATGATTATACCTATGATTACCCATGATTTACTACAAAGATTACCTATGTTTTCCCATGAATACCAATGATAACCCATGAATACCAATGATTACCCATGATTACCATCACCTTATGTACACTGATTACCCCCAAGGTGTTTACCCCTTGGATTTTTAAATTAGTTTTCTTTATCAACGTAAAAAGTACTAGAATATCGCTAACATAGTTTTACATTTTCATATTATTATGTTTTTTACCATTTTATTAGTGAATTATTGATGTATTTGTATAAAATTGAATCATAAATAATAAATAAATAACATTTTGTTTTCAAAGTAACTCTCCTCATATATGGACTGAACCAAAGTAAGAAATAAATATATCTTGCATACCCTAAGCAAGACATCTACAATGATTATGTGATGATGTTGCAATAACTGTAGGTAGTTCAAATTTTAATCAGGTATACAATTAAGATATTAAATTCCTCATCAATATCAATTAAAAAAATTGTTAAATGAGTTTTAAAAATAAAGTATTTTAACCTATTTTAATAGAACTTTTACAACATTTCAATTTATACTTCTTATTAGACACCTTTACCACCCACACTTTTGTATTATTATAAACAATACTTACTGGACCATCGGTTGTAGAATTAAATTGTGTATGGATTTTTTCCCAGGCCAAAATTTTTTCCTTCCACGTTACCGCATTGGTTGTTTTATTTTCCAATATTTTTTTGTTTGTGTTGCATAAATGCAACAATAAATCAATTTCTGCATTGGTAAAATTGCTTTCCCGCTTTCGCTCGGACATACTTTTCGATGAAACAAAACGAAAAAACTAACTTCGACAAAAATAAATTCCAGACAAGTTTTATTTTACGTTGTTACCAAGGTTGTTACTTATTGCCTGTTCAGTATTAACCGGTACAATACTATTTACTAATTAAAAATTTGATTGTATAAAAAAGAAATTTGTTGTTATCACAATTAAAATGATATAAATCATGGAAGATTAGACAATCCTCCTAGATAAAATCAATATGTTCTGGTTAACTATCTTAGAGATAAAAACTCCTTCAGAAATTGAAGCTCAGTTATAACTAATAGATAGTGTTATCTTCTAGATACTAAACTGTCAGTTAACTAGAAGTCGAGAAAGTGGGCCTAAGATAAGTAGAGCTATAAACGTTTACATAACGTGGGGTATCTACGTTTATTTAACGTCGACAGTACGGTTATAATTGGTTGGTTGAAGAAACGTGTTTATAGGACGAAAAATATTCGTTTAGTTTTCGTGTAAGATAAGTAGAGCTATAAACGTTTACATTACGTGGGGTATCTACGTTTATTTAACGTCGACAGTACGGTTATAATTGGTTGGTCGAAGAAACGTGTATATAAGACGAAAAATATTCGTTTAGTTTTCGTGTAAGATAAGTAGAGCTATAAACGTTTACATTACGTGGGGTATCTACGTTTATTTAACGTCGACAGTACGGTTATAATTGGTTGGTCGAAGAAACGTGTATATAAGACGAAAAATATTCGTTTAGTTTTCGTGTAAGATAGGTAGAGCTATAAACGTTAACATAATTATGTGGGGTATCTACGTTTATTTAACGTCAACAGTACGGTTATAATTGGTTTGTCGAAGAAACGTGTTTATAGGACGAGAAATATTCGTTTAGTTTTCGTGTACTTTTGGTAGAGCAACATTCGTATATTTTACGTGGTGTATCTACGTTTACTTAACGATACGACAGTACGTTTATAATATTTAGTCGTATAGTTTCCCATACAAGCGAAACTGCCAAACTCGATCAGCTGATTCGGTTAAATTTACGTTTACCTATGATCTGAATTCTTAGGAAACGAGCCCGTAAACCAAAAGATGTTAGATCCTTGTTTGCCCGTATTCAGAAAACGTTTACTTCCACGTTGGCGGGGTAAGCTACGCGGGGTCTGCTGGTTTACCCGCCGGGCGAAAGTACAACTAGTCCGCCGACAGCGCTGTCGGCGTAGAATATTCTAGAAATCTATAATCTATAGAAGCCTCACGGCATCGGGCATTTTCGTTAAAGCCGTTATAGCTGTTATAGCCGTAATTCGTTGTTCCACCATCGGCATTCGGCATCGACCCTGTGGTGTAAAATTGCAATTGCGGCTTCACTCACGTGCTGTATGCCTGTATATTGTGTCTGCGGTCTACCACATAACCTGAGTGTTGTTCGCTGTACAGCAGTCGAATCATTATTCACTGTCCTTTATGGTATCTTATAGTTCTTACAGGCTACCTACGCAGTGCTTGATCGTGTGCCTTATAAATTATAAGAGACGCTGTTTGTTTTTGTGCTAATCTGCCCAAATCACCAGTGCCATTGGAAAATCATAGCAGACTACACTTTACTATAAAGTTGTAAGTACCTAGGTATTGTACCTATATTAATTATTGTTTGAATATATTATAGTTAACTTTAAACTAAAAATTTAAATAATATTTTACTGTATGTATCTATAAATAATCTAAATACCTAATTATTAATATAGAATTATTAAAATTTTTGAAATGTTGTTAAAGCATATAACAATATGGTTATTAAGTAATAGAAATATAGATTTTTGAAGTGCAGTAGGTACGATAACAATTTTTACATTACACTAACAATTGAACAGCTATGCAAAATAAATATATAAAAAACAATTTATCAAGTATACAAAATAAATATACACAAATACACAATCATGATATTTTATGCATATTACTCGATATTACTGCAGTAACTTGTGGTATTATATATTTATTATCTATTATTATTAATTTAAAATAATTTTAACTTTCTTTCACAAAATATCTCTATTGCCTCTATAATCTCTATGTCCCGCTGTTAAATAATTAATTTTCAAAATTTACAGAAGAAGATATGGGAATACTATACATTACCTCTTAATTCAATATTCATGTCATACCTATAATTATATAGGTACCTATATAGCTTGAAATATTATATGTATTAGATAGGTATATTATAATAGCTATCACAATAACAAAATCGTTAATGCTATTAAGTATATAACTACATACTAAATTATTTCTATTTCCGACTATGTATGTAAAGTGTTCTATTATATAGTTATTGTAATAATAGGTATTATTTAAAATGCCCATTAGGTACCCATATTAATAACTATATTATATGATTTATTTGTTATTAGAAAATGCCAAAATATGCATATAAACCAAGTTCTAGTTTATCTAAGCACACTAAAAGACGAAGAGAAATAAAAAAGTCATTACTGAAAGCCACTGATGTTACTAATAGTTCAATTGTATTTGAGCATAATGTATTTGAAGTAGATAGTACATCATTATCTCAATACAATCCTAATACAGTTGTAAATAAAAATTTGTATGAAAGAGTTGAGCCAGTAGATTTTATTAATTGTAATGTATTACAAGAATCCGAAAATAATTCTAATAAAATAGATCTTGACAAGTGTGTTTCTGAGAAACAGTCTTTTCAATCAAAATTAGCATCATTAGTCATTTCTTCAAGGCTTGCAAGAAATAATGCTACAGAATTATTAAAATTACTGAAATCAGTAGATAATTTAGATTGTTTAAAATCACTTCCGATGGATTCAAGAACTTTATTGTCCACTCCTACATCAAATAACATCAATATTATATCTGTTGGTAGTGGACAGTACATTCATTTTGGTATTGTCCATGGATTAACTAATTTATATAATACTGAGCCAAATGTGAATCAATTATCTATAATTGAATTATGGTTCAATATTGATGGATTACCAATAGATAAGAGAGGATCCTCATTTTGGCCAATATTGTGCGGTCTATGTATAAATGACTCTATAAAGCCTTTTATTGTTGGTTCATATTTTGGATTAAAAAAACCTTCCAGTATAAATTAATATTTATCTGAATTTGTTGAAGAACTTAATGATATATTAACAAATGGTTTACAAATAAATGATTTAATTTTGAATGTCCACATTAAAGGTATAATTGCTGATGCTCCTGCTCGTGCATTTATAAAACAAGTAAAGGGACATTCTGGGTACTTTGGGTGTGAAAAGTGTGAAGAAGAAGGTGAATATTTATCAGGAAGCCTTTCTTTTCCTGGATATAGAGCTCAATTACGGACTGATGAGTCTTTCAAAAACCGCTCTAATGAAGATCATCACATAGGAACATCTCCATTATTGAGAATAATTGGTCTAGGACTTATCTCTTGTATTCCACTGGATTATATGCATCTGTGTTGCCTTGGGATAATGAAAAAAATACTGCAATTTATTCTTAAAGGAACTCGAGTGGAAGATGCTTGTAATAATATTAAATCGTCTAAAGACCAGGTTATATCAATAAATCAAAAAATGAAAATGATTAAGAAATGGATCTGTTCAGACTTTGCTCGAATTCCAAATGATTTAAACAATTTTAATACTTTTAAGGCCACTGAATTTCGACAAATTATGTTATACACGGGACCTTTCCTTTTTAAAGACATAGTTAGCATTCCAGTTTACAACAATTTTATAATATTCCATGTCATTATGCGTATATTAAGCTGCAAGACTACCGTTTATACTCAGAATGAGTATGCTGATTCTTTAAGCAAGCATTTTGTAAAAACATTTTGTCTGATTTATGGCCGCGGAAATGTCTCCTATAATGTACATTCTCTTATTCATTTGTCAGAAGATGCCAAAAAATATGGAGTTTTGGATAACTTTTCTTCTTTTCCATATGAAAATTATCTTCAACATTTAAAAAAAATAATACAACCCGGTCGATTTCCTTTAACCCAACTTTATAACCGTATCACTGAAGAACGTGCATGTGAATCTTCTATTTTTGAATCATTAGTTAATTATCCCGTTCTAGATGGTTATCATTTTAATGGTCCTTTACCTGAAAATATTTCTTGTGATTCAGTCAGTCAGTATTCGATTTTGTTTATGAAAACATTTACTATACGAATAGTAAATATAAAACGAAGGTCTAACAAACGAGATGATTGTATTATTATGGCCTCAAATAAAGTGGGCCTAGTTAAAAACATCATAAATAGAAATGGTGACATATTTATAGTCTGTTCTATATTTGAGAAAGTTGTCCCAATTTATAATTTACCATGTTCATCTATGTTTGTTGGAATGTATGAATGTAGCAAATTGTCATCTACATTAAAATTATATCATGTAAATAGTATTAAATTTAAAGCCTGTTATTTTCCAACTACTAATATAATTCCACATTCAACTTTCAATGTATGTACATTATTACATACAAATTGTTAATCAGGTATATCTAGTTAAGAATAGAAATAATATTAACATAATTGTGTTTTTATAATGAATTAATTTTTTTAGTAGCTAATTATGAAGAATGCCATTTCCTACTTTATCATTGATTCCTCGGTCAACAATGAAAATATCCAAACAATCGTTCCAAAGTCATGGATAATTAATAATGAGTCAGGAAATCCTATAGTTGGAAAAATGTATGAATGGTATTGGCCAACTGAACATGGAACTAAAAAAGCTGAACAAAATGTTAAAGTGGATTATAATTGGAATAAAAAAATTGGCCAGGTTCTAGATATAACCGGTAAATTAATTTTATTGTTTTTATGATAATTTTATATATTATTTCTTGATGATGGATTTATTTGTACAATAGTCATATATTTTTAGTGTACCTATGTTTATTTTCTCTCATATTTTTTAGATTCTTATTTAGAAGCAAATTTTATTGTTATCAAAATTAAAATCAATCAAAGTAAA